GAGGACAGGAGCTGGAGAAGTGGCAGATTTGAGAAGAATCCGGGAGGGAAAGCCAGCAGAACTTAGCACATGGCCACATGTGAAGGATGAGAGAAGAAAGTCAAGAAAAATCCTTGCTTCATAGTTTGTGTTCCTAAAAGGATGGTGAGACAATCAGTTCACACAGAGAAGCTGGGAGGCAGAAGTGATTCCGAGAGAAATAAAAGGGAAGTTTCAGTTTGGATTTGTTGCCCCGTGAGGCAGTGGACAGCGAGGTAGGTGAATCAGGAGCTTGGGTGACAGGTTTTCACTAGAAATGATGATTTCTCTATTTACCAACCAGGCCCCCTGGACTCAGCTGGGAATGAGGCTCCCTTCCCTCTTTCCATCCAGAGAATCAGGCCTCACTACAGCAATTCATTCTGAAGTTCTCCAAAAGGTCCTCCATTCCTCCACAGGTCTGCTAGTTCCCCTTTACTTCCCACCTATGTGCTCGGCTCACACCTTCTCTGAGGGCCACTGGCATGAAAGAGCCAGCAATCATTGACATGCCCAGCTTGGCAAATTTGAGTGGCCAGCTCTGTGGAGACAGAGCCATGAACTGACTTCCCTTCGCTCCCTCACCTGCTGGGCAGACACCCCAGCTCCTAAATCCTGTTGCTGCTGATGCAGTGCTAACAGCCTGGACTTTGTACACATTTTTCAAAGTTGAGCTAAAGAAACCAACCTTGAAAGAAAAGATTTGTATTTATTTTAGTGTTTTCTGAGCCAGTCGGCAGGACTTTGGAAAGTCAGCTTTGTCCACAACATTCAGTGTGATGGAAAGCAGCAAGCAGGCATGTATAAGCATTGGATGTGGGTCTCAGGCCACTAGGGTCAGAGAGGCAGGAGTTGCTAGGGGTCTGTGAGAGAGGGAGGGGGAGGCTATGGGTGAGAGGTAAAAACTTCCTACCGTATATCTCCTAGAAGTAGTGCAGAAGACACTGCCGCTGTCATTTGTCTATACTCGCCTGTGAGAAATTTCAAAGAAGCACGGAGAAAAGGACTACTAGCTTGGAGAACAAGAATCTCTGGTAGCATAGTGGTTATGAGTTGGGCTTCTAACCTCAAGGTCAGCAGTTTGAAACTACCAGCCGTTCCATAGGAGAAAGATGAGGCTTTCAGCTCCCATAAAGTTTTACAGCCTTAGAAACCCTATGCAGGGCTGCTATGAATCAGAACTGACTCCATGGCGCATAACCACCACCACCAGCTTGGAGAATATCCAATAAGGCTTCAAGAGCTACTGACAAATTTAATTCTGCAGGTTGGGGGCCTTTTTTATGAAACCTTGTTACTTAAAGAGAAACTCCAAGTGGGACGATGGTCAGTATTGCTTTTCCAGGCAGAGGCGACAAAAGCAAAGCAAAATTATGACTCCAAGGGAGTAAGCTCTCCACGGGATACTCAGGGAACACACTCCTGTTACTGGTTTTCTTCGTATTATTTTTATTTTTGTACCATTTTGACAACATTGGGAGTCCCTGAGTGGTGCCGTTAGAGCACTTGGCTGCTAACTGAAAGGCTGGAGGGTCAAGTCCACCCAGAGCCACCTCAGATGCAAGGCCCGGTGATCTACTTCCAAAAAATCAGCCAATGAAACTCTCATGGATGGCAATTCTTCTCTAAGACATACACAGAATCAAACAGATGGAACTTGGTTTTGGTTTGACAGCATTTAAAACGTTACAGGTGCTATGCCCACTTCAAATGTCCCTTCCTGGGTATGTCAGAAGCCAGCACACACCCACAGAAGCTGATCATCAACAGCCTGGGCTAACTAACCAGTGACAGACTTGGCCAGGGATTTAGTGACAGATCGCCAGCCCCAAGTCCGCCTTGTGCCTGCAGCAGGCACACGCCCTGGTTTTGCTGGATGTGTTGCTTCTAGGTTCACTCTGCTTAGACCTCAGAGCCTTCCCCCAAGCAGCATCATTTTCCCAGAAGCACAAGCAATACAATGAAACACACCTGCTGCTTACAAAGAGGGATTTGTTCTGGTTGGAGGGGGCAGGATGAGTAAACTGAGCACTGACAAAACCCATTCTGGCAGGGATTCACTTCATTTTGCAGCAGGATACGAAAAAAAAGTTAAAGAAGCAAGTTCACTGCTTTCCCGGATTCACAGCCATAACTTAATACTTGATTACTGTTCACAACTCATTTCAGCATTCATTGCCACGGGAACCCCAGAGTAAGGCATTCTCACTTGAGGTCAGAGAATTTGTCCAGATTCTTGTGTTGTTTTTAAAGACATTTTTAAATTGCCTTTCTGCCAGAGGGAAAGACAGAGCATTAGGACAATTGTACCCTTCTTTTTATTAGTAAGCAATGTATGTTGCTGTTGTTAAGTGTTGTCGAGTCCGTTTTGATTCATAGCGACCCAGTATAAAGTTTCTAAGGAGCAGCTGGTGGGATTGAACCACTGAACTTGTGGTTAGAAGTTCGGTGCTGATCTTACAGCGCCACACCAGGACTCTGTAAGTAATGCATAGCATCATGGAATTTCTTCTGGGCACACTTTCTTCACTTGGCTTCTAAGACACCACATTCTTCTGCATCTCCATTCAGTTCTTCTTCCTAATTAGTCTCCTTAGCGGGCTCTTTCTCTTCTTCCCAGTCTCTGACAGGTCTTGTTTCTCTATATGGACTCTCTCCTTTTCTGACTTCATCTTCACTCCTGGCTTTAATGCCATCTATATGTTGATGACACTCAAGCTGGTGTCTTCAGACCTGCTCTGCTCTGCTGAACTCCAGACTCACACAATCAACTGCCCACCTAACATCTCAAACTTAGCAAGTCCAAACTAAACTCCTGGTCTCCTTCCCCAAGCCTTAACCTCAGTCTTCCCATTTCAGGCAGTAGCAACTCTATCGCTTCCAGGACCCAAGCCTTGGAGTCACACTGAACTCCAATCTGTCAGTGAATCCTGATTTATTTTCACCTAGATGGAGAATCAGACTGGGTCTTACTGTCTGCATTGTTCATTGAGGTAGCCAGTAGCTATCTGTGGCTATTTTATATTTAAATTTAAAAGGAACTAAAAAATAAAAACAAAAAGGAATGGTTCATGTGGAAAATCTTAGGAAAACAAGTGCAAAAATTAATTAAGAAAGTTAGTTCCTCAGTTGTGTTAGCTACATTTCAAGTGCTCAGTAGCTGCACGTAGCTAATGAGGATGGCACTGGCAAATGGGACTACAGAGCATTTCCAACCTTGCAGAAAGTTCTAGTAGACAGTTACACTCATTCCTTTCACTGCTGCTACCCTGTGCCGAGCCACCACTGTCTCTCGCTCGGATGACTCCAATAGCTTCTTAGATAGAATTGCTTCTTCCATCTTCCCAATGCAGCGGCCAGAGTGGGCATGCTGCTCTTTTGCTCAAAGTTGTCCAGAGACTCCTTATGTCTCTCTGAGTAAAGCAGAGTCCTCACAATGGTGCATACACATGCTTTGATCCCATTCACATTCCTGGCCTCATCACCTCAGCCTTCCGCTTGCCCCCTCTGCTAAGCCATCTTGGCCTCCTAGCTGATCCTTGGCATGCCAGTCACACTCCTTCCTCCAGGCTCCCGGCTATTCCTCTATCTGCATGACCATCCCCTGATACTCTCTTGGCTCTCTCCTCCTCCTTCCAATCCCTACTCAAACATCACCTTCTCTACAAGTCTTATTCCAGTAGCTCTATTTAAATTTAACTTCCGCCCTACCCACCTTACACCTTCCACTCTGCTAACCCTGACTGAGACCTGCATTGTCTTTTTCCATAGCATTGATCTCCTTGGAAGAAATGACAACCATTTTCTTGTTTTGAATATCTATTGTCTACAGTGCAGCAGAAACTTTACACATATGATGTATCCTAAGCAGTTGAAACAGCTGACTCAGAGGAGGCTCTCAACAAATACCTGTTCAATAAATGAATGAGGAGTCCTGGTGTGGCACTGCAGGATAATACGCTGGACTGCAAAGTTATTTGAACTACAAGGTCGGCAGTTTGAGCCCACCAGCCACTCTTCGGAAACCCTATACAGGGACGCTATGGGTCAGAACCTACTCAATGACACTTAACAACAATAGCATCTTAAAGCTAGAAGAGGCCCTGGGAACCGTTCTTGGGTGGGGCAGCCGAGGGTTGATGTTGTTATTAAGTGCTGTTGAGTCAGTTCCAGCTGGAACTGCCAACCTTGTGGCGCAAACCAACTTTGCAGTCCAGTGCATTACCCCACAGCGCTACACCCCATGATGGGTTCAAAGGAAGAGATCCGACTCTGAGCCTGGTCTGTTCATTCCCTAAGATGATGCCATCCCTTCCCCTGACACACGCAGAAGGACACAGATGAACCACAGAGAGCCAAGGAAGACAAGCACCTAACTCAGATGTTGGGACAGTCACCACAGTACTCCTTGGTAAGATTGTATGACTTAACTGTGTGTCCTGATCCTCTGCCAACATGTCAGAAGCAAGGAACACAGTGATAGCTTCAGACTACTAGGCTGCTACTGTATGCCAGACTTAGCCCCTTGTCCCCAGATGCTGCTAATACCAAGAATCTTTGAAAACTGGAACTATATGAGAGTAATATATTATCCTTGTTGTAAAAAGAAATTCATGGTTTCATCATATGATTTAGTAATCATTATTAAAAATAGTTGATTACTATGAAAAGAATGATTCTTCATTGCATCACTAAAATATTTCCGACAATCCAAAATGGATTAGAAGGAAAGCAGTAGCCAGCCCACATTGTGTGTTAGGAGGTCCTCTGACCTTTTGTATTTGTAAGGAAATGCCATCTGAATGGACATATTTTTAAATGTTGAAGAGTGATGGCGTTTCTTTGGTCAGTTCCGAAATAAAAACAAAAAAAATACAGTGAGGGAGCTTCAACCTCCTAAGCGAGCAGACGTGCGCATATGGTATAGCTAATAGGTGTGGAGTCACACAGCATGATGTTACCTGGAAATCTTGCTGCATGGCTCACAGGATGATGTAACTTGCTAAAGCATGTAATTAAGAACAAAGTTATCTTTATAGTCATCCCTTCATTACCCAGTTTACTCAATTGGAGACTTTTTTTTTTTTTTTGAAATGCTAGATTAGGAAATACATTTCATTAGACTACACTCCCATGTCATGAAAACCAATTGATGTGCATAGACCATCTTCTGCACAGACCAGAAAATTAGATCTCAAGAGAGAAGAGGAGCTAAGATCAAATCAAGGGGGAGGGTGATGAATGAGCACAGTGAAAGGCACTATCAGTGGCTTCCAGAAAGAGGCACCTGGCTGTCCAGTTCGCTCTCTGGACCTTACCTTTGGTGGCACTCTTCATTGCTTTCACTAACTTTCCCCTTCCAGCTCCAAAACCAGGATCTCCATAGTCCGTGTCACTGTCACCAGCATTACCTTGGCTGGCAGAGTATGCACACATTCTGGGTACCTTGTCCTAGATGAGTAATATGAAACTGTTAAGACTATTCATGCAAATTAAGATGGGCAGAACATCCTGTGAGGATGGGAAACATTCATTCATAGCTGTCATTGAATGCTGTGAATTGCCTTCCCATTGCTCACCCCCCGCCCAGAAGAACAACTCTGATTTGTCAACCTGTCTGTCTTAGTTGGAGCTGGAGCCATCTTGTCAATTATCATAGCTGTAGAAATGGCCTGCCATCATGTAGTCATTGACAACACTCTGCCATGGTACCACGTTACAGACTCTGCATTTTGCTTCCTTCTTTATAGAGTCTTATTTTCCTCTAGTGCCTTTTATGAGTTGCTGTTCCTAGACAAATGACTTATTTATTTAATGGATCTCATCAGTGGCTTTCAAATATTACATTCTCTCTAAAATAAAAAAATCAACAATAGGTGCAGAAGAATAGATGCTTGCCTAATTTGTTACATTCTCCCCAAAGGGCAGTAGCGTTGAGGAAAGTAAGCAAGTGCTGACTCCTTGTAATCCTCTAATTTACTGGCTATTCCTGGGTCAAGAGACTCAGCTTCCCTTGTGCTCACATAGCCTGGCCCTGGGGGATGAAACTGGTGTGACAACTATGGCATGTTCCAGAATGTCTAAGGCAGTATCAACAGTGCTTCCTACTGTGTACATAACAGTGTACATAAGTAGATGGCTGGATTTAGGGCTGCAAGTCCTGTGTGTACAACTGGGGGTATCTGGGACCCTCTTATCTTTCCAGACTATCCCATTAGAGTACCTTGGTTGTTATGTGTCGTGCAGTTGGTTCTGACTCATAGCAACCCTGTACAGGGTTTCTGAGGCTGTAAATTTTTATGGGAGTAGAAAGCCTCATCTTTCTCCTGCAGAACAGCTGGTAGTTTCAAACTGCTGACCTTGCGGTTCACAGCCTGATTCGTAACCACTGAGCTACCAGAGCTCCTTACTCACCATCAATGCCAATGGTTCAGATCCATACACATGGATGGATTCTAGGGTTTGTTTGGAGGAAGTCAGTTATTGGGGATTATGGAAAGTCCCTCAGGTGGGGTTATACTTTCAAGCAGTCACTTAATCATTTTATGCCTTTATTTATTTATTCACCCACTGAACAGATATTGATAGAGTACTTATTCAGTGCTGATCATTCTGCTGGGGCCTGGGGATACAGTGTTCAGTGCAACAGATGAAGCTATTGGGAATTAACTAGTAAGGATACTGCCAGGGAAAGACCCCAAGGTCTACTGCCTAGGAGTCCAGGTAGCCCTGTATCTTGCGCTCCAACAGAATTCTGGTAACATTTTCAGCTGTGGTGAGAAACAGTCTTTCATCCCTCCATTCAACAAACACTAACTGAGCCAGGAGCTGTGTTGGATCCTGGAAATACACAGCAAACTCTTGCTGAAAAATTTCCCACCTTGCAGTCAATGAAGCAGGGCTGTAAGTTCTAGGCCACCAATGGTGACCTTAACAAGCTGACGCAGGCTTTCCAGGTGGGTGAAGCTGGAGCATGATGGTGGTGCCGGGGTCTCAGGAGGGATGTGGAGATTGCTATCTGTGTATGCTGTGAGGCTCACCCACTGTCTCAAAGAGAAGAGACCGAAGCCTGCTTGGCCACTGTGGAGATACCTTCTTCTTCTCCTCTTTCTGGGAATGGTTTTCCTCCTGTTTGCTATCGTAATTACCTTTTGTTTCTGAAGTACTGTCCCCTCACTAACTGTTAGGATGGTCTCAATTTTCTAGTCCCCAAAGCAAGCACTGAGCCCTGTGGAAGACATTGGTTCTCCAAATGGGTTCTGTACTCTAAGCAACAACAGAATCAGCTGAAAGCTTGTCAGAACTACTTCAGATGTAGTGAAACAAACCCTGAGGAGAGGGGCAGCAAGCTGTGGTTTACCAAGTCCTTCAGGTGATTCAGATGCCTGATCAAGTCTTTGGAGGAGTTCTAAAACTTTGGTGTCTAACTTAAGGTATGATAAAGTACAGTGATGTCCTCCTTTCTCTCTCAGACCCCCCTTGATCTATGGAAGCAGTCATACTGAGTACTGGACATGGAGTCCAGAAGGCTGAGGCCTATGTTCAGCTCCATGGTGACTTTCCTTTGGACCTACACTGGTTCAGTTCAGCTTCTCTCTGGGAGTTGGTGGCCTCCTCTGTAAGATGAAGCCATAGATCCAGAGTGCCTCTGACCCTATTCCTTTAAGGTCCCACATCCACACTGAGGAGCTATTGGCTGAAAGAAGTCTGTCACACGAGGTGTGGAGGACCTCAGCTGTGGAGTATCCTGGGGGCCGCCTCTTCATAGTTAGACAGTAACTCTAGTAAAGGTAGGCAGGGGGCTTCTGATGCTAAGATGGGATTGCTAAATGCAGCAGGAGTGGGATAAGTGAGAGGTGGGCACCTCTGGTGATGGGTCCAAATGTCTCTCCCCCTCCTCCACTCACTGCCAAGCACCACTAAGGCCTGCACGGGGGTCAGCCCCAGAAGAGTAGCGGAAGAATGAAGTGGCTGAATGCAGTCCAAGTAACAAGATACAAATGGTAAATGAAAGGGAGATTATAGGGAATCCCAAATTAACACTTGGGGATGGGGTGGAATGTGAGGAAATAGTCGATGGACTATGAGCTCCTCCCCAGCTCCAGTCACAAGGTGGTCTGTAGGAGGGTGGAGGAAGACTGCATAGCACAAACTCAAGAAAAGAGGTCTCACTGAGACTAGTAAGTCCCATGACCATTCCAAAATTCAGTGTATTCATCTCTAAAAGGGGTATGATTATATAGTTCTACCAGTTTCAATGATAATACATAGAAAACTGAATTCTAAATGGTGCCATGTGGCTTGGGAAAGTGAAGGCTGTTTCTCAGTGTCCAATCAGAGAAAAGCATCTACACTTCACTAATCTGTATGGAGATCATTGAACGCCTTTTGAATTCTCCAGAGGGCTCCCAAGACCTCACTGTGTTACTTCACAGTGGGAAAAGGATGAACTCTGAATTTTTGCTTTTACTCAACACATCAACAGCAAACTTGATTTTAAACGACATCTCTCACAAAAGAGTTTTGAGTTCATTTGCCACTTTCAGGACCAACAGGTGTGGCATGTGCCCCTTGGTTAGTTCCTTACCTGCGTCTCATCTGCTGTGTCTTCACACCCCCAGTCTGGATCACTTGCCACTGTGTTTTCAGCATATTCAAACGATGGGCATGTTTGAGGCCTCGGCTCTGCTTCATTCTGCTTTTGGGAAGCGATTTTACCTATAGGAGGAAATGCATATGAAGCTACAGACCAGCTTTCAACAACCCTTTACAAGCTTAGGGAAGGTGGTGGTGAAGTCATTCAGAAATACAAAAAAGGTTCACAATATGGTGAAAGCCACGCTTCCTTGGCATTCAGTCTTTGGTAAGTCTGTGCTAACTGAGGCATGTGAATTGCTATGTGTATCTCTAGAGTCCAGCGACTCAGGAAAACTGTCCTCAGACCACTTTTCCACAAAACATTAATAGTCTCTGCATGTCAGAAAGGTTTCCGTGAGCAATCCATTTGTGAAACAATGAAGTTATGCCTCAAATAATGTTATTTATCAATCAACGGATTATTTATTGTTTGTTTGGAGGCCTTCTCATAGCTTAGCTTCCAAAAGGAGAATTGGAATGTGCAGTCTTTCCCAAACAGACTTGAGGGGAAAATCTTTGTTTTCCTACAATAGCTAGTAACATCTTTTGAACAGCACAGTTTGGAGAAACTTTGCTTTGACTCCCTGTGTACATAAAGAACAATTGGACAGTGCTTCTCAAACTTGAATGTGAGTATGCACCAGCTGAGATGGTTTTTTGGTTGGAGTCCCTGGGTGGTGCAAACAGTTGCTCAGTTGCTAATCCAAAGGTTGAAGTATTAAATCTACCCAAAAGGACTCAGAAGAAAGTCCTGGCAATCTACCTACCCCCAAATCAGACATTAGAAGTGCTATGGAATGCAGTTCTACTCTGACACATATGAGGGGGCTTCAAATACGTCGTGGAACAATGGCACTAAGAGATAACCGAATCTTCTCACAAACTTTTTGAAGCCCCCTCCTATGTGGGGTCCCCATGAATTGGAATCAACTCTCTGATAACTGGTGGAGCTTTGGTTAAAATGCAGATTCTGATTCATTGGATCTGTGTTGGGGTCTGAGATTCTGACAAATTCTAAGATGATACTGGCCCATGGACCACAGTTTGAGTAGGAAGGGTACAATAAAACCATCTCAATTAGCAGAGAATAATGAAAGAAAGTGTCACTGTTACTCAGAACTCTAGATTAACCTGCAGAGTGCATTCCTTCATCATGCTGGAGAGGAGAATTGCTGTTATTATCCTCTAGCCTCAAAGGCTGCCGACAGGGCAGGCTGTGACTCTCACTCACCAGCATTTAGGCGTGAGCCCAAGTTAAGTAACTGTGTTCTCATCAACACCGAGGGGTCTGTGCAACTGCTCCCATTTTAGAAATGGTGGGGGATAAAAGAAAATACAAACCTTAAGCTGAAAGTGAGTGGTCCACAGAGGATTTGACCCCACTTTCCTTTTGACCCAATCTGTTCTCTGTGCTCTGGTTTTTAAAAGGAGTTTTAAAAACACAGAGAAAGAGAAGCCTTGGAAAGCTAGTGGTCCCTGCCTCTGGACCACAGTGACAGGACTGCTTGGTGGACAGGAAGCTTCACGGTGGGTGGTACTTTCTACCATACACTACTTTCTTTCTTCCTTCCTTTTCTACAACTATTCGTGACAATTTAATTAAGACATAGACCTTACCAAACTGATGCAGTGAATATTAGCAGCAAGATCAGAACAATCTCCTTCCTATCCCCTTCTTATGGAGCAATTCAAGGCTTGCGGTTTCCATTCAATTTGTTATAATGACAGTGTTTAATCATGAAGTCTGCTCGGCAGCCTGCGCTGAATTGAGGTCACACATGTGACTACTGAGGCATGCAGCATATAATCTATAACTAAGGTTTTGCCCCTGAATCTCTGGAAGCATTGTCATCAATTAACAATTCACTTATTTAAAAAATAAGGTGCATTACAGCCTTTTAAAATGTAGCCTTGGCTTGGAATGAGCCGAAGTTTGTGATGAAATATTCATGGCAGTTGGTATTACCGAATGAAGGAAGAACTCGGCCATGGGAGTAACTCAATTCCATTTATTCAAAGATACCTAATTAAAAGTCTTCTAATTCCTCAGAAGCTTGTAATATAGTGTCTACTTGTGGCTCCTTTCTAATCACCAAATCAAAATGTAAGTCTGCAATTTAGAGTTCATATGATTAAGCGTGTTGTAAAAACAACATAAGCCATGCAAGTTAAAAATTACTTAGTGTTATCCTGGTCTGCAATAAATATTTTTAATCTTAGGGAACAATGAGAAAAACCTTGACCCTTACCTAGTACCTATGTTTAATCATGAAAGCTTGCTTCAGTTGACCATGACAAAGAATGGTCTGTCTCAGTGGTTAGGCCTGTGCACTCTACGACAGTTAATACACTTCACTGATAAATCAGAGTCTTTTATAGTTCAACGCATAAATATGTTTGAACAGGATAAGAATATGTCACAAGACCTATGGTTCTGGATAGAGTGCAAACAATATTTTAGCTAAATTTATGTCTTGGGCCTACATTGGCCTATATCCAGAGTTCAGTTTTAAAAGATAAAATCTATGAATGTATGTATTTTTTTCCTCACCCACTGGCATATCCATACACTGGTACATAAATGTTTGTCTTCACTGTATACTGTGTCCGTACTTCACTGTATACCTAATCCTGTAGACAATGTTGAGGACATGCAGGCATTTTCATTCCACAGTCTTTCTACCCCACAGGGCTCACTGACTGACTTACCACCTGGTCAGCTGCTTGTTTTCATTGTTGGCAGCAAGTGCATGATTGTGGGTAGGAAAGCAATTTAATTTGAAAAGTAATTGGAGCTTTACCTGAGGACACCGGTTTGGGGAGGTGGCTCTGAGGAGGTCGCACCCCTCTAGTGGTCATGATGGGGTCAGACATGGAGTGAACAATGGTGGTATCTGCAGGGCCCAGGCTGTCTGCGGAAGAAGGCACTTCTCGGTCAAGAGTTTGGGCTCTGATGGTAGAAGCTGCAGAGAGGGCTGGCTCAGTGTCTTCTAGGGGGTCTGCTTTGCAAATGTACCGTCCTGTTGAACGAGTTCCTGAATCTGGCAGTGGGAAGGTTCCAATCCCACTGTCTAGCGTTCTCATCTGGCAGCTTGATTCTGAGACAGAGTAACAGAGTGCGGAGAGTAACATGAGAATGCTGGCATAAAAGGGGTATTTGGATATAATCTTGAGGCATGGAAACATCTTGAAGGAAGAATTTAAGAGAAAGAAAACATCAGAACCATTTGGAAATAGTAATGATGGGCTTGTACATTTCCAGAGAGACATTTAATTGAACATGAAAATATTCCCTAAGCGGTTAAATAAGAAGGCTAGCCCCTTACAGACAGCAGGTCACAGGCACACGTACCCTAATGGTCTTCTAGTGCTGTAGTAAAACAGGAACCTTCATTAGAGACCCAAACTCAGTTGATCACCCTTATTTCAATCTTTAGGGAGCTCTGGTGACACCGTGGGTCGAATATTGGGTGGTTAACCGCAAGGTCAGCAGTTTAAATCCACCAGCTACTCCTCCAGAGAGAGATGAAGATGTCAGCTTTGGTAAAGACGTACAGCCTTGGAACCTTCTGGAGCAGTTCTACTCTATCTGATAGGATTGCTGTGAGTCTGAAATGCCTAGACGGCAGCGAGGTTTTTGTTGTTGTTGCCTTGTTCATTTCAGTTTGTGAACCATATGACTTCAGATAATTGCTGTTGTTACGTGCCATCAAGTTGGTTCTGACCCATAGCAACCCTGGATAGGGTTTCAGAGGAGCAGCTAGTGAGCTTGAACCACCAACCTTGCAGTTCAAATGGCTTTGCAGTCTGGCGCATTAACCCACAGTGCTACACCAGGACTCAGATAATTTGGTAACATTTATTAATTGAAATAGGATTAGTGATGAATACAAATACCAAATCTAAGGGTTGTCCTTAACAAAAGTAACTATCCCATCAGCAGTTCAGTGAATGTCTCGCCTCTCAATTTACATGTCAGGGCAAGGATTCTCAGAGAGGGTGCCCTATTCACAGGAACATCCCTGTCATGTGTACTTCATTTGACCCAACTGCTATGTGAGGTCTTCAAGAGAAATCTACAGAGCCACTTCTGGTCTTTCACACTTACTTTATGCAGTGACAAAACTTATTAGTCTCCCTGGATTTCTTGTCACTCACAGGGATCTAACTAATTCCTAGTACAAATTACATTGGCTTCACCCTGTGTATAGCATATTCTGTAATTATATCACCTCTTCAAAAAAATTTTTATGTACAGAGGAAAAAACAATCGCTGAAGAAATGATTAGATATTTTACTTCGAAGATGGTGGTTCAGTTTATCCAAGTCAAAAAGACTTGCTGACGCTTGTTCGCATGGTATTGTTGGGTGAAGCAGCCTTAGTAAAGTCTGTATCAGTAACTTCTAAATCTAAAGCTATATATACTAGACACAACTCAGCTGTGTTAGGCATGGTGGAAACATAGTAGAATGTGATATATAATCTTGGCTTCAAGAAACTCAACAGCTAACACATCTTTGGTTCTTTATGGAACGGTGGCTCCAATTGTGGTCGAAGTCTTCCAATGACCCTAGACAAGATCTTGAGCCTCTTGGGGTTTCAGGTCCCTTATAGGATTAAAATATGTTCATCTTTGAGGGCCTAGAACTTTACATGATGTCGATGGTATTGTGAAGTATCTACAAGAATGAAGGGTGGTATACTCAAAATATATTTATTTGTTGTTGTTGTTGTTAAGTGCTATCGAGTCGGTTCCAACTCATAGTGACCCTGTACAGGGTTTCTAAGGCTTTAAATTTTCATGGGAGTAGAAAGCTTCATCTTTCTACCATGGAGTGGCTGGCAGGCTTGGTCACTGAGTTTATGGTTTACAGTCCAGTGCTTACAGTATGGAGTCACCACGCTCCCATTTGTTAAATATTAGTAGATATCTCATAAGTGGTAGTGGTTGTGAGCCGTCAAGTCAGTTCTGACTCATAGTGACCCTGTATAGGATTTCCTGTATTAATCTTTATGGGAACAAAAAGAATCCTCTTTCTCCCACAGAGAGAATGGAACATTCAAACTGCTGACCTTGAGGTTAGCATCCCAGCTCATAATCTATGGCTTCTTATCGTATAAGTAAATAATTTATCATTAAATATGCCTCATACACAAGCTCATTTGATCCTGAGAAATTAGTGCCCAAACTTCAGAATCTGTACATTTTTCCACCTTCTGCCTGAAAACCAGTTTGCTATGAGGAGTAGAATACTGGGAATAATTAAGTACTATGATTGAAGACTAGGGGGTGAGTAGGGAGAGTCAGGTTTCCTAGGTTCTCATAGGTTTGTTACTTGGTTTTTTAAGCTGTAGAAAAATGAAGTCCCAACTGAAAGAAAGGCTTCAGTCTCCAAAAGGATATTTAGTAGGAAGAAGCCAGTCCCCTCTCTCCAGCATGGTGCCCACTTAGCATCTCCTAGACTACCAGATCTCAGGACCACTATGGGCTAGGTTTTAGCCCTCATTCATTTCAGGACCTCTACCTTAGCTTTACTCTCAATGAGCCTTACAGATTACTTGTATTCATCTCTATTCATTTTTGAGAAATGATGGGTCTTTTGAGAAACAATCAGCTGTTTTCATGGAGAGACACTTCCAAAAGTGTTTAAAAAAATAGACTAGTATTCAAATTCAGAGTCCTTTCTTCATTTTAGCCTAGATAAACAACAATCTTTGAGTCTAGCATGTTCACATGCTGCACAAGTACTCAGGTAAGTCTGAAATGTTTGAAATATTTCAGTCCCACATGGGAGTCCTGGTGTGGTGCTCTAGGATAAGCACTGGACTGCTAACCACAAGGTCAAATCTCCTTGGGAACCCTACACAGGGCCGCTGTGAGTTAGAACTGACTTAATGGCACTTAACAACAACAAAAACCCAGGAGTTGTGTATTCTCACCAGGCCTCACCTCGACTTTGGAAATAAGAATCAATGATCATGGGATGCAACAACTGAGATGGGTTAGACCCTGGACCCAGGGCTTCCAGCCATAATAATTGACTCTTGGTACCCTCAGCTCTACCTACTCCTAAACCAAAGAGTGCTCAGCTTGGCAATGCACACTTTATTTCCCTTCCAAGAAGGTGGTTCATGAACACTTTGTCTACTAGAGCTACTGTGGCTCTTAGTGGCACACAAAGTTTGCTTTTGGCTACTAATTGAAAAACTGGCACCAACTAGCGTCATGGAGCACAGTCCTACTGATCTTCATCCATTAAAGATCCCAGTTAGGAAGGCTGCCATGAGATGGAACAGACTCAATGGCAACGTGTTTATTATAGCTACTAGAATCCCTGGTTGGTGCCGTTGATTAACGTGCCTGACAGCTCACTGAAAAGGTTCAAGGTGTACCATAGTGGTTCAGAGGTACCATAGTAGAGAGAGATGGCAATTTACTTCAGAAAAGTCAGTCAATGAAGACCCTACAGAACACAGTCTACCTCTGACACACGTGGGGTCATCGAGAATTGGATTCACCTTGATGGCAACTGATTTTGGTTTACTATAGCAACTAGGAATTCACTGCTTCCTTTGCATTATCAAACAAAAATTTAATTTCACAAAAATCCTGTAAGGAATGAACTGTTAGTGGTGTTTCACAAATGTGGAATCCCACCTTGCTCACAGAGCTTAATTAACTTGTCCAAGTCAATGTTCCTAGCCCATGCTCTTAGCCCCAACTCATACTGATTCCTTCAGAAAAGCAGAGCTAAATTTCAGATAAGGGGTAGCCACTGAGGAAATCATGTGAGAAGGTTCATAGCATGTCCCCCTGCTCCAAGGCAGGATTCCAGTGCCCCATCTGAGATGAGTACTGACTTTGGTTCCTGTCTCTCCAAATTCTGTGATGGAAATCTGTGGTCAAATCCTTGCCAGCTCTGTGTAGCTGCAGAGAACCACAATTGCCTAGTAGCTCTTCCCTTTGTCCTTTTGTAGTGGCCCTTAAACGTGTACCCTGTTTATGCTCTGGAGTTTCTGTTGCCTCCCTGGTAACGGGTACTACTTCCAAGGGTAAAGTTTTCCTGGCTTTGGCTAAAAAGTCTCTCCCCTCCACATTATTTATGACTCAAGTCCCAGAGAGCACTGGATCCAGTCCCTTTTAAATGGAGATTCATAAAGCCAAGTGAGCTTCTTAGCTGCTGATCAGCAATCTATCCAGAGATAGCCCCCAAACACCTATGTAGGTTGGCATGGCCTGCAGTCCAAGGCCAGGGGGCACAGGAGAGATCTCAGGCAGGCAGAGGAGATGTGGTGAAAGTATTTGGAGTCCATCTGGTAGCCATCTGAGGATACCAAGGTTTTCTGGCTGCCTTCCCTTTATTTTCCTTTCCTTTTAACACACAATATTGTCACGCTGAGTCTATATAATAGGACTTTTGGTGTTGGCTGACTTCTCTGGTTGAGATGTGTGTGCACTGACATTAAGCTCAGAAACCACTTGCTATTAAGGTCATTTTTTTTCATTTTTTAAAAAATTGCAGATGCCGAACTTGTAGTGAATGTGCAGAACTCGTTTGCAAGTACCTATGAAATGAGGTGTGGACAGTCAGGGGGTCACACACCATATGCTGAGTTTTAGCCTGGAGCAAATTTCATGAGAATGTATAAAGCTTTAGAAATTGGAGTTTATATTGAAATTGCTGACACCACCTTTGTGTGGTTTGTTTTAGGCACTCTTAGTTTCATGTCATTCATAAAAATATTTTAACTTGAAAAAATGTTAGGTAATGTGCTTCTGAAGCCAGTTTTGTTGTTGTTTTCTTTATCTCCCTTGTGAATTACAAGGGCTCACAAAATAATTAAATGGTTGGAACAAAGTTTGAAGTGGTGAGTCTGCCTTGCATCTTGAGGGAATTGACTCAGACTTGATCTCCATGAGTTAAGTTCACTTTGTGGCTGTTAGCTCAGCTGCCAATGGTGGAGAAGGTGCTTGTGTGCTGTGGAGTGGCATTTGACCTCAGTTTCATTTGAAAATTACATTATTGTATCTTCCTCCTGGTGTGGTGCTGTGGGTTAATGCACCACAAGGCAAAGCCGTTTGAATTGCAAGGTAGG